ACTTTAATTAATCACAAACCTTCTGGAATAGAAAAACAAAGTTCCAATACGTACGTCAAGACACGTCAAATTATTTATCGTACCGTATCAGGATCACTGCTCATGAATTAAGTGGTGTCACGTGATCACTGGGCTGCTTCATGACGCAATGGTCCCTTCTCGTAATGGTCTTTGATCACATCACAACGTATCCATAAATAGCTACCTCCTCCTCATAGTTTCCGTTTTGAATTCCTCCGCAATCAAACAAAATCAAATGCTTTTACGCGCACAAAACAGTTATGACGACTTCATTAGGGCGTTATAATTACATTTTTGTATGAGTGGGAAGTATCACGAGAAAATCAAACTGTGGGAGAGAACCCTATAATGAAGTAGAAGCCTAGACGAGAAATAAAAATAGCGATAAACGAAATTATAGCTCCGATCTGCTTCGATACCACGCCATCATCAGGGTTTTTATCAATGCGTCTCAACAACTGATGCCATGCCAGTTTCCAAATAATAAGTTTACGAAACACTGCACCGAGCATAAGCGTACCATATCATTGCAAGAACACACCTACCAATATGTTTAAAGCGCGGTGGTCGTCGCGCAGCGCGTGTTCGAATTTCATGTAAATAAACAATGTATTTTACACGCGTTGTATATGTCGCTATGAGTCCCATATCGAACAGGACGCGGCATGACGACTGCCGCCCTTTAACGTGTATCGCCTAGGAGTTTTTTTTTTATAAGAAAATACAAACACTTTTATGCGACTGGAGTCACGAATCACGAAGAGCAAACTTGCTAAAGAAACGCGTAATATGGGTGGTTTGTCTGAAAATAGACGGAGGGATAAGTGGTTTTAAACGTGTATAAATGTCATGATATTATTGGATAATGTATTGCCTTTCTACGTACAACTAGATGAATAATAAACGGAAGTTTGGAAATTGTGTGAAATTATAGGTTGACTATCTTGAATAATACCGCTACTTTCCTTACAAGACTACCTACTCACAACTGCGACGTGACGTAGTCAGCGCTAACCACGCGTGCTTAATTGTTGACATATTTAGGATGCATGTAAACTCAAAATGGAGGAGCTCGCGCATCGGTTGTTATGGAAACTGACAATGTATATAGAGGTGTGAAATAAAGTACAACATCCAGACCGCACGAACCAAATAAGCCACTTCGGATGATGTGCCAGTACATAGATGTTTAGGTGCAAGCACGAGGGACTGTGGTGTAAGCTAATCTGGTCGAACGGAGTGTGACGTCATAGTCGTGGGATACTTCTACATACGATCTGAGCCCTTACACTTGAGTATTGTACAAGTGAAAATTGTAATGATATAATCAAAGGAGTGGAGAAAAGCGGCCTTGCCGTCTAGATCACTGGCACTAGACAGCTTCAACATTTAGGTTGCAATGTGAATTGAATTCTCGACGCTGTGATCAGCATGATAAAAAAACGATCCCATACTCCCCAATTATATTAACAGTGCAAGTATTTCTGACTCGGTTAGATTATTATGAACATATCGATAACTGGCACGACAGACGGAACTGGAAGCGGAATCCAGATCCTGATATTGACCGTCCTCAGCTTGGTTTGACATAAAAGTGTTAGTAATATAATTGACAATTAACACGTATATGATTTGTGTAGGAAAATTTTACTTGATTTTATCACAAAAGTTATACTATAATAGTATGACGTCACCGCGAAGTTCATGATGAGTTCGCCGGAATAGGGCACAGCATGCAGACAAGCCCATACTAGATTTCAGCCGAGTCTAATTTGGAAACACAGTCCACGACCGTCACCGCAAACGGAAGCATTGCATATTTATATCTGGTTACGTGCCTAGACGCTTACTGGCGTTGGCTTGGCACATTTTAGTGAGATAAGAGTGATCAGTCAAAGAAAGCTAAGAAAGAACTCCCGTGTGCTGAAGGCATAGGAAGTAGAAAGAGAAAATTTTTAACTTAATTAATATTTAGAATTAGCTTTGAACATCTTCAGTTGCTCTATCTGAAAGCAATCAGTATTGATGGGTACCACACTAACAAAAAAGAATTAATTACAATGTACGCCTGTGGCGTACACACTGTGCTTTATCAGAAACTTGCCCGATTTATGGAAATTAAGTAATTAAATATGCGAGGATTTCAACCATAAAATAACCAGGTCTGTGCCAATGGATTATCGGAGAGCACCTATGTACGTTTTATTGAAATTGAGTACTGTTGGAAATTTAAAAAAAACTAATTTATGTAAATTTAGGTAATTAATATGCATGGATTTAGAACCTAAACTAATCAGGTCTGTTTATTGAACCAGAGCACAAAGACACCAAATTTCATTAAATATGTCGGATGGTCTGTGAGATATCATTGGAACATTTGAAGATTGGTTAATTATTGTGCAAATTAGGTAATTGATATGCACATATTTCAACCAAAACTGCGCATTATCCAACAGAAGTGTCTTTATAATCTGATGAGTGATTCTTGGGATATCTGGTACACACATCAATGAGTTGTAAGGGCGCTTTACAGCAAAGATTTGTGTGATTAGCTACGGCACTACATAATGTTGCATTTTCCAGGATCATTACGATGGTTCATTAAATAATTAATTTAAGATATTACGGTAATAAGCGATGTTGTGTGATCGTTGTGACATTCGAGGTACCTTTATGTGGGTTAAGTATTCATACCAGTACGACATTTCCTCTCAGTCACAATGAAATGTGCATGCGTCAAAGAGATACATATATCATATTATATCTTGGAGTCTTCTTTCTTCGAGAAACTTTAAATAAACAATTACAATGACGGATGATATTACTAGACGTTTTCCCACGAAACTAAGACAAATACAAGACCCTTGTCGGCAGGTACTTTAGAATCAAACTTCAAATAAACTTTACTGAGAATGGTAAAGAAACCTTGAATTCGGGAAATGACTGCGGTTAGCACCGTCTTATGTTTCCTGTCGAGTGTTTTGTTTTTTAAGTGTATACATACGTATCTATGTCAATTGTATTGGAACTGGCTGTTGTCAAACAGACTGATGTCAACACATGGCGTAACCAATAACATTGCTTCAGTGTTTATAAACCAATATCTATATGGCAATACATGTACATACTGATTAACACTATGGACAATGTATTTACGAACGTTTAGATAAATTGTGAAGTAAGTAACAATTTCGAAATACCATAATTAAAAATGGCTTATTTACAAATGGGACAAATACTAGTAATCTTTTTTTATAGTTACTGAAACGGCGTGTTTCAAGTTGATTTTGAGTTGGTTCGTACCATGTAACAGTTCGACACGGTGTATTTCATTGGAACACTGCAAGTTTGCGTAAATTTGTCTAGTCGGATTTCAAAAGCGCAGCAATGATGAAAACAACAGGGGACAAATGTTTAGATCGCTGTGATGGAATTTACAAAAGAACAGACACATAGACTAAAACTCAGTAATCTAGGACTGAATATCAATATGCAAAAAATATAATTGTCGTATTAACAATATTGCCGGTAGTATTTTTTTCCATTCCAAAGACACTTGTATTTAATTTACACCAGTACACGTAATAGCCTGGCATGGCGTATACATGTTACTGTATGTTTCGATTTTTTAGATAATATGTGATATTATTTATTGTGACAAATAATGAAATCTAACAATTTACCAATTTATACTAGCAACTACATACTTTATCTGGTGAATTGTTCACTATTCAGTCAAAGAAACAATATCAATATTTGTTTGCAATGCTACCCACAGACTCATTCTTAGTGTTGTTACAATCCACGGTGATCATCGAGTGTGGTCGTTAATTACGCACACCCGAATTATTTAATTAATTGATTATATAGGCACATATTGAGTTATCGACCGAGAATGTATAATACTAAATTCAAAGATTGTCAATAATCTGAAAAAAATATCAAACTTATCGCCAGTCTGTAGAAATTCTTCTTTAGTGACCATATTACCGGAAGTTGAACATACGACCTTTATTACTATATATCACAAGAAAAGCGGCGACAACGACGGCGTGTTTTGATTGTGTATTTCCCTTCGGTTTCAATACTGGCGGGCTAATGACAACACGCAAAGAATGCATCCACGTTATGGCATTAAAATAAGTGACACAAAGGGTGAACCATGCTTGACTGCTCATACTTAATCTTCTGAAATAGTTTGACTGGTTAGCGTGTTGTGATTATATCCCACCCATGGATCAAACGCACTTTGCGTCCATCATTAAACCAGCGACCAGCCACAGAGGCTCGGTGACTTAAACGTGACAACTGTGTATACAAACATTAAAAAGCGAGTAATGGGACCGGAGGCAACACGGAACACTTCTAACACTGAGAAAACGGAAGTAGTGTGGGCCAATGTGCAGAATGTGGTTGTCGGCGCGGTCGAGAAATGCTAGTTATTCACGCTTAGTCATTGCCCGATTTATACGATAGCTACCGTGGGAAATCGATTGAATTACGGAATAAACTAATTACGGCAATTGTAGTTACTCCTATGATTCAACTTCAGTCACCTTCACAGAATATTATATTTGTAACACCACGTTCTGTATATTTCTATTTTTAAAAAGTATTTACATAAATGCAAATGCACTATAGCAGTGAGATACCGGCCCGAGCATAGTGACGAAAAATGCCGAGGCAGTTTCCGAAGACTGAAGATCACTTCCTGCGTCCGTTCGACTTAATGAGTATGTCAATCATTTAATATACACCCACGCGCACAACAAGGCATATATAAAGTGGCACTGCGAGTTGGTTTATGCAACCAGTGACTCTTTACAGTAAAACAAGTACATTGAAGACATCATTGAGACTAATACCCAAATAGCTGTTGAAAGATCGAATAACACTTTAAAGAAAAAAAAAACTTTTCGACAGCAGACGACGCTCGTGACGGTACTACTTGAAGTTGAACCTAAATATCGATAAGCAAAATGGTTATTGATCTCGTTCCAGATATTCGCACCGTTTTGGTTTTCATTACAACATTTCTACTCACATTTGTCTATATGCGACCAAAAACGTCGAGCGACACTGAACGAGACATTTCGCGGCGAAAAGCGAGGATGCCTCCTGGACCTACCGGGATACCGGTGTTCGGCAATCTCTTTAGTCTAGGTAACAACCCCCATTTAACTTTCATAGAAATGGCTAAGAAGTATGGAAATGTGTTCACAATCAAACTTGGTTCCGAATCTATCGTCGTACTGAATGGTTTTCAGGCAGTGAGAGACGCCTTAGTGAAACAAGGCCAAGCGTTTGCAGGTAGACCAAAAATGACTTTAACAGAAGAACTTACGAAGGGTAAAGGTAAGACAAAGTACTTTTATTTTCATCTAACAATTGGTGGTTAACATTAAGAATATTCGAAGTTTGTTATTCCAGTCTACGTTTGACGCTTTTTATCTTTCACATTAATATTTTGACTCGATTTCCTTATGAAATACACTGAGAACGAAGTGCCGACCAACTTTTAAGTGATATGACTTAAGTAGGACAAGAGAACTTCTAAGTTTGGCGCCAAGAATGATCCGGGATGAAATATAATTGTTAATCGTTCCAATGACGGATGTTCTCAACTATTCAATTCGAATTCAGATACACCACGTTTTAGTATATAGGTCACATACCTACCATTCTGTAGCTGTGAGGCAAAACGTTAATTCGCTAAACCGAAAACAGAATGAAATACTGTAGAAGGAAACAATACACATAGTCACTTGATCTAAACCGATTAATGATGTCAGCTCTCGAGATAGTAAGCACGGAAGTAAATAAAAAAAACTAGTCCAGTTTGTCAATTTTATTTTCGCGACGACTTGAAAACGAAAATCAGAAACATGTGTTGGTAGACAAACAAATGCGTGGAACGACTTGCTCGAAACATAGAAGTCGTGAAAACTAAACCCCGAGAACAGTATTACGTCATCAAATCCGATAAATACAACAATGGTACGAACAATTTAACTCTCAGACACGTAGATTGACTCGACACCTTTAACCACAGTCCATCAACACGCTTGAGGGACTGTGGTTCAACGAATTATGTTAGAATGTGGCGAAACTAGCTAACTGTACAAAACCTCTTATTTTTTACTCGAGCTTTGAAACATGGAAAATTGAAAAGCACAAAAAACAACAATTATGACGGAGAATAAAAAATGATTGTACACTAAGATAAAACATACAAAGAGCTATGACGTCATCGATGTTTATGTTTTGTCATTAAATAAAAAAAATAACTGCTTAGAATAAAATATCACCAACGCAGCTGTGAATTGTGGCCTCCAAATCGTGGAGAAAACTCGTATAGTAGAGGACATACAATATCATACATATCCAACGAATCACATCCCAAATATCATGTCCATTCCATCCCATCTCATCCCACCTGTCTCGTTCTCTATGCATATTGCTCCACTATATCATTTGCTTTACCGACATAAACAAGTTCCGGATGTCCCGGATCCTGTCACTTTCTGGAAGTGAATTGTCCACAGTGCAATTAAAGTAAAGCGCACATTTCAACGTGCAAACTTTACAGCCAAACAAGCGATGTGCGTGACATTAAGTTTAATAATATGCATCCTATGCAGGCGATGTTACCTACCGTTATAAGGTCACTGATGATAATATGACTAAATTAACTACATTTCTATAGTATTTCTATGACTTTTATATTTAGGTTTAATTTTCATTATTGAGGAAATGTCAGCGGTATTTTAATTCATTTATCCTCCTCCTACAACGCATAGTTTGTGCGTCAAACACGACAATGACGCATACACAATGTAAATTACTGGCTTATACTGTGTAGTGTACACAGTAATGCTAGACTGCTACACAATGGCGCTTTTCGACACAGGTTGTCCGGCTTGTGTTTTAGGACACGAAAGAGGTCAGGTCTAAGCGTGACGTCACTAACTTGATAGGCACGTCAACTTGAATACTCTCATTATAGTGACAAGTTCGGTATGGACATTATAGACTGGCTGAAGTACTTACAGTGCTGGATATATATATGTATATAGTCTAAATGTGGGAGTCGATTATTCCAAAACAAAAGTGCTCAATACAAAGTATATGTAGAGCGGATAAATGCGGTAATAGAGGAATTAATACACAACTACATGAATATTGAAATCGACAGCACTGTTTCGTAAGGTACAAGTACCTCACTCATCAGGAGCTTTATGTTTAATTCACTGCACCAACGAGCATACATACATATATATACATACACATATATATATAACTGTGTAACTGTGGTACACTGCAAGGAGTTACAGTCGACTGTTGGCTGATTCTAGGGCGATTTTTGTCGTCGCGTCGCGCTGTGTTCTATTAAACATACGGGGGGAAATGTATTGTTTGTTTACATGATAGTGTATATCTGTGATGTGATCAGTATATGTATCGTAGTACTTTTAATTGATAAATAATAAATATAAGCCACATGAACGGATACACGTTTTTTTAAAAAAACTACTTAAACTATTAAAGACAAAAAAACAGGATGTGTGTATAAATTCTGACGTCAAGGGAAAACATGAATTATATGAATTGTAAACAATAAACACAATTGTAATGAATAATAGCGGGAAACGTGTCGACCAGCTGGAAGATAGTGTTACAAGTCGTCTCCGGATGAAGATAAGTTACTACAGGAACGGGACTTGGAAATAATTCAATATATATGTATATGTACAGTACCAGCGACGGTTTAATTCTTTAATTCACAAGACAATGAGGGTGCATCTTTAATTGAGACATGAGGTTCAAGTCAGTTGAAATCAAAACAGAGCTTGTGAAAAATGAAAAATACCCAAATCATTTTGACAATACAGCCACACCTTCCACCAGGGAGAAACATCTATTTTCTTAAATATGGGTCAACACTTAGAATATAATAACTTTTTAAATAACACAAACCATAACAAAACAAACACCGAAAAAAGTGAGAATTCAAAACTACGACCGGATTAGATTGCAGTAAGCTGTATTTAAAAATGAATGTTTGACAATGATAATAAAGTCAGATGAGCCGTGTTCCTAGTTGACCTAAATAATTAATATACTGACCCACTTCCGATGAACGACTTATTCTTAGTGTTTCGAGGCTTTATATGAATCTGGAGATTGAATGACGTCACTCTCTATCAAAATATTTCACTAAAGAAAGGAACATTGTCTGAAACATCTAGTTATACCGAATAATTACCAAAAAACACGATTACCAACCACAGTTTTCTATATATTGTATTTATCAGTAACGTTCACCAATTTTGTATTCTACACTTTTGTTCTTATGTTTACCTTCAGGCATTGTGGCAGCTGATTATGGCGAAACCTGGAAAAGGCAAAGAAAATTCACATTGCAAATGCTCAAAGAACTTGGGATGGGGAAACCAGCCATGGGAATTAACGTATCGGCAGAACTTGAGAGCTTGACTGAGGCTTTCAACAAGCTGCGAGGACAACCATTTGAAGTAGACAGCTACTTAGAAGTCAGTATCGCTAACATAGTTTGTTCTGTGGTATTTGGAACTAGATACGAATATAATGATCCTCAGCTTCTCACTCTTCTCCGGCTCGTCAATCGATTCTGTGAAATTGGTACCAAAGCAGCAGCAATGAACTTCTTCCCCTTTCTGAAATATATGCCGTTTGGGCCAATAAAAGAAGTGTTCACCAACAACGATATTATGACACAGTATGTAAAAAGCGTTATCCAGCAACATAAAGAAACATTTACTCCAGGTAACTCACGGGACTTCATTGATGCGTACCTGGCTGAAATCCAAAAGCAGAACAATAACCTTGCACACAAAGGGTCATCATTTACAGAAGAATATCTGTTCTATTTGCTAAATGATCTCTTCTTTGCTGGCACTGAAACAATGAGTGTCACCCTGCGCTGGGCAATACTTTATATGATCGTACACGAGGACGTTCAGAAGAAAGTTCAAGAAGAACTTGATGAGGTGGTTGGAAAGGACAGCCTTCCATCACTGACAGATAGACCACACTTACCTTACACTGAAGCCACGATGATGGAGATCCAGCGCATGGCAAACATCACTTCTCTAACTTTCCCACATAAAACTTTAGATGATGTTGAACTTTATGATTACATTATCCCTAAAGACACTAGTGTGTTCGTGAACCTATACTCTGTACATGTAGATGAAACTCAGTGGCCTGAACCACAGAAGTTCAACCCTGGAAGATTCCTAGATGAGAATGGGAGTATTCGCCAAAGGCTGGCTCTCATGCCATTCTCTGCTGGTAAGTTGTATTGCAAACACCAATAATCGTTTTATTCACCACGTAATTGCGTAGTCAAACAAGCAGCCTATCGGCTGAGATAGCTCCGCTGTTAGCAATGCACATTTCAATTAAAGAACTGAAGACATCATTAGAAAATGAACAATATGAATAGTATCAAAGCAATCGGACTTACAGTTTTTAACAAGAAGTCGAAAATATCACTTTTTACCAAAAATTACAAAAATATTCACCAAAATAAATTAATTAGAGAATTGAAGACATCATCACAAAACGAACAAATCTGAGAGAGATCCACATGTAGTACCTATATATGTAATATCAAAGCATTTGCACTTGCGGTTTTTTACAAGAAGTCGAAAATATCAGTTTTTACCAAAAATGACAAAAATATTCACCAAAATTAGAGAATTGAAGATATCATCACGAAATGAACAAATCTGAGAGAGGTCCACATGTAGTACCTATATATGTAATATCAAAGCAATTGCACTTGCGGTTTTTAACAAGAAGTCGAAAATATCAGTTTTTACCAAAAATGACAAAAATATTCACCAAAATTAGAGAATTGAAGATATCATCACGAAATGAACAAATCTGAGAGAGGTCCACATGTAGTACCTATATATGTAATATCAAAGCAATTGCACTTGCGGTTTTTAACAAGAAGTCGAAAATATCAGTTTTTACCAAAAATGACAAAAATATTCACCAAAATTAGAGAATTAAAGATATCAACATGAAATGAACAAATCTAAGAGAGGTCTACCCAAGGTACATATACACCAAGTATCAAAGCATTTAGGCTTGTAGTTTTCAAGAAGAAGTCGAAAAAGTAAAACATTGACACGGACGACGGACGACGGAGACGGACGACGACGACGGACAATCACTCATATGATAAGCTCCGCTCGACAAAGTCGACAGCGGAGCTAAAAAGGTTAATTAGTTTTGACATCGTTATACTCTCAGAGACCATAAAAAGGTCAAATGAATGATGAGATGCATGGCCTACCCAAAATTACTTACTAGATAGCACCTATGATATACACAAGTGTATTCACATGTGGTCTAAACATCTTATTCCCAAAATAAACCAGACTATTAATTATTTGCTTCTAAATTTATGTTACACAGGTCAAAGAAGATGCCCTGGTGAAGAGTTGGCTAGAGCGGAATTATTCCTCTTCTTTTCTGGATTGATGCATCGTTTTAGCTTCAAGTCTGCTGATGAAACATCAAAACCAACCATCGAGAAAGCCTCTGGAATCAGCTTAGTGCCATATCCATACAAACTATATGCAGATCCTAGACATTAAATGGCCCAGCCATGTGTTGGGGAGTAAATGTAGTGTGTAAGAGTTAACTCCCTGGGGTAGGATTCGGGAAGACTATACCGGAACATAACCAGACAGATCAGTTGTATACAAAAAACACAGTGGTGGTTTATTGCCAGATAGACTGATATAGTAAATAGTAACAACAGATGAACACTGGTGAAATACACAAATTCTGAGTATATATACTCTCTGAACGAACGTGATAGAAAACACAACTCTATAAAGTAGCAATCGTAACATAAATATAAATTGGCGGCAATGTGTACGATAGGTCAATAACATCTCGCCTGTGATAGGCTAAAATTAAAACAATCCGATTGGCTGAGAGATTTATCTCAGAATCCGAGACGTAACGTTACATGACTGCTTCTCTAAATGAGTGTACATGCAAAAAAAGCTGTTACGACCCATGAGTGTACATGCAAAAAAAGCTGTTACAACCCATGAGTGTACATGCAAAAAAAGCTGTTACAACCCACGAGTGTACCTGCAATAAAAGCTGTTACAACCCATGAGTGTACCTACAAAAAAAGCTGTTACAACCCATGAGTGTACCTGCAAAAAAAGCTGTTACAACCCATGAGTGTACATGCAAAAAAAGCTGTTACAACCCATGAGTGTACCTGCAAAAATAGCTGTTACAACCTACGAGTGTACCTGCAATAAAAGCTGTTACAACCCATGAGTGTACCTGCAAAATAAGCTGTTACAACCCATGAGTGTACCTGCAAAAAAAGCTGTTACAACCCATGAGTGTACCTGCAAAAAAAGCTGTTACAACCCATGAATGTACCTGCAAAAATAGCTGTTACAACCTACGAGTGTACCTGCAATAAAAGCTGTTACAACCCATGAGTGTACCTGCAAAAAAGTTGTTACAACCCATGAGTGTACCTGCAAAAAAGTTGTTACAACCCATGAGTGTACCTGCAAAAAAGTTGTTACAACCCATGACTGTACCTGCAATGGCTCTTTATCGATAGCATAGAAGAAAGTGTTATTTATTTATTTATATAATGAATACATGTATTAATAACTATTTATTTAAAACAAGCAGCCTCTCGGCTGAGATAGCTCCGCTCTTAGCAATGCACATTTCGATTAAAGAACAGAAGATATCATTAGAAAATGAACAATATGCATAGTATCAATGCAATGGGACTTGCTGTTTTCAACAAGAATTCAAAAATATCATTTTTGACCATAAATGATTGTGGTTTTTAACAAGAAGTAAATATCACTTTTTACCAAAAATGACAAAAATATTCATCAAAATTAGAGAATTGAAGATATCATTATGAAATGAACTAATCTGAGAGAGGTCCACATGTAGTACCTATGTCACACGCAACGTAATATTACTGTAATTGGTATAGTACAGGTGTGATGGTTCAAATACCAAAATGGCAACAGTAACAGAAAGATTTCCCTGGCGGCGATGATAACATACAAACACGGAGCCAACAGATGAGGTTTCAACTGGTACTGGTATTATTATACTCTGCAAACATCAAGTACAATAACGCAGTAAAACTCCACTACTCCAATAACTAGATACTTAAACTCCAATACAATTCAACGAGATCTCCGATCTGATCTCAGTGCTGAACAACTCCCCTATATATACCCACACTGTCTATAAATAGACCATTACATCAGCATACATAATGAGTCTGGAACTTACTACCAATTTCTAGAATGTTCCATTACCTTCTATTGCCTCCTACAGTGTTCTATTACCTATTCCACCAGTTTCTAAACAAAATCTAGAATATCCACCCAG